TTCAAGATGATTGATCATGTCATCAAGGAGCTCGCTGAGTACTTCGGACGCTCCGGCTTATGGCACCAGCGCTTCCTGGACCTGCAGGATGTCTTCACTTCGATGAACCTCGAACTTCAAGACATTCATACCATCAGATGGCTCTCCTGCAGTGAGGCTGTCATAAGGTTAGTTCAGGTTCTACCCGCCAACGTCGTCATGCTCTCGGAGGACGGACACCCGGCTCTTCAGGATAGTGATAAGCTACCGATTCTGGTTCCTTGTCATGCTCCTTGCTGACATACTGGAGCAGCTTAACATCCTCAACAAGTTCTTCCAGGAGCGTCAAGTAAGGTTATCGTTACCCTGACATCCAGCCGTGACTAATTCACCCTGGTTATGCATATACACTCCTTTCCCGCCCTTTCCCTTCCTCCCCCCCACCACTTCCCCGCCCTGACCTCAGCTGGAGTACTCGGCTGTCCAGGCGTAGATCGTCCGCACAACAACCCAGCCGCAGAGCCGCTACGGGGATGGCAAAGACTTTGGCAGGGGACTGAAAGTCCGTCTCACCATCTTCCTCACCCGTCACGACCCGCGCGGTTCTCGAGAGGTCACCGCTGAGGGTGTCGACTCCGACGGTCGTCCGGCTCACTTCACCGTCGTGCTGCATCAAGACCACTTGCTCTGTTATCGGGGGGAGGGACATCACGACGCGTGCTAGGATCTTTGCGTGGCCATGGCGGCTGGCATCGTGACGAACTTGGAGGAACGGCTGGGAGATGTGGGGAAGCTCTTTGGATGCCGCCTCTTCTCTGCCAACCTCTGGCCCGCTAACAGGGAGACAGCCGCACGCAAGGCCCAGTGCCTTGAATGGTTCCTCTCCAAACGTTACCATGCAGATGAGGCAGAGGAAATCCTTCCTGGCATTGACAAGCGTGCAACCATGATGGAGCTGCCTCATTTCTGCCCCGTCATTGCTGCTCTTCCCAAGGCCGACCGAGGCTTTCACGCTGGGCTCACGGCCATGCCCAAGACACCCGACTGGCAAGATTCTTACCCAAACCTGATGAAGTTGTAGTCGGCGGTGGCAGTGCTTCCTCTCAGCACTGTGGAGTGTGAGCGCGGATTCTCCAGGCAGAATGTGATTACATCACCAAAAAATTATGACCCGAATGTGTCCCAAATGTACCCCCGAGGTCAGTTGCATGTTCGGTTTGGGACATGTGCGTCAAGACACATACGGGACCTAAGGTGGGTAAGGTTTAGGCTAAAAAAACAGGATACACGAGGGCCAATTGAGGGTTAGCTGTGGGGCAAGCATAGGCCATGGAAGGACTGTCAGGGGCCATCTGAAAGCTAGTTGAGGGACATGTATGGGACTGAAACACCACAGCATATCCTCTACATAGTCAGGTCCTTTCTACAGTGGTTCGAAAGAAACATACTTTACATTATGCACAAGAATAATCAAACATACTATTGGTTTCATACAAAGATGACACGTACTGTCATTACAATGGCAAACCGGCATCCATGGGAACTCAAACACCATACTCTAAATTCAAACGCAACTTTGAAATGAATCAATCCAATGGCCAAATCGCTCCGACGAGCATTGCATTCCACTGCATTGTTAACAGAAAATGAATCGGTACAGGTAAAGAGGGTGTTCACTCTAATTAAAAAATAACTTCAGGGCGATCAGAAGTCAGCCACACGACTTGGACATGCAAATCGTGGCATGTTAAATATACCGCCTGCAAGAAGACAAAAGGAAGCCAACACATGCACTAAGCACAACACTGCACATAAGAAGATCGTTGCGTTGCGTCTGCAGAGAAAACAGCTGGGTTAAGGACTGTTAGAAACCACGATAAAGAGAACAATACTAGAAGCGGAAGATGGAAAAAAGACGAAATAACGCGGCTGACCAACGTTACTAGAGGAGAAAAAATTAGCATCAAAGATGCACTTACAGAGCACGACGATAACCCATGTAGGAGCGCACAATCCTTTAAGGTATGCCAACGGCGTGTGGCGCGAATTGACGACTCTTGACTGTTATCAAGGACTTGTTGAACATCGTGGACGTGCGTTAAGCAAGGAACAATCCACGCGTAAATGCTAGTTAGCATCTACGAGAAAAATAATCACGCGTGTTGAATAAATGGCCACCAATGAAAACGTTTAAGAGTAGGCTTACTACGCAATGAACGGAAAACACATATACGCAAGAGAGCACGGAGCGTAGAAAGTGAATGAGGCTGAGGTGAAATTGGACGCATGTCGTGTAGGGCTGCAAAAATATTATGAAGGGTAGAGTAGCTTAACTAAGAGATTTGAATGCAGAAACAGGGTTAGGAGCAGCTGGAACTGGAGAACGAAGACGATAAGGGCGCGTGACATTTTGAACGAATCGGTATCGAGCGTCATTTCAGGTGGTTACCTGTCTCACGAAGTATGCGTTTTTTTGTTTTGTTTTTTGTTTTTTTGTTTTTTTCGAAAACCTTCGGTATATTATGTCACATCGGGGCTCGTACCGCAAAAAACATTGGGTTCGTTCGAGTGCACTCAAAACTGGCAGACCAACGTCCGAACTTGACGTCAAGCTTGATGGCATACGTTCTAGTCGTAAGGAGCGAAAAAAAATCGTGCAAAATCGAAAGCGATCGACAATTGGTGGCAACTTGTAACAATTGGTTTCGTCAGACTTGCCGCGAGAAGTCGTACTCCTTGCACGGCCATAACAAACAATGGCGATGCTGCTTGAAATGTGTATGTACCGCGCGGACTAGCCGTGTTGTGCCCTTGACAGGTTGTCGAGTGCAACTTGCAAAAGTTGCAGCTTTGTAGCCTGATTTTCGAGCCTCGAATGTTGACGAGTCTGAGCCCGTTGCACGTTCATTTGGTACGGACTTTTGCATTTTCTCTCCATGTCACGCACCCTAAGTGCTTCATATCTGAAATGCAGGAATGCTAAGGGGGAGGATGCGGAGCAGAAGGCTGGGCAGACACAGGAACGGTTGGGGAATCTTGAGACACTGTAAGGACGTAATGACAAAGGTTTGTGTCTTTATTTATGCATGACACATTCTTCGGTTATCGTATTAAAAAAGATATGGACTCCGTTTGCGAGCCTTCTTACGCAATGTGTAATGAGACAAACATCGCAATAGACGTTTGAAAACACGACCCAGCAGCAGCCTAAGTTGGCGACCCATCACCAGCAGCAAGGGTTTTTAGTTGTTCGGTTACTGTTACTTGCGATCCGCGCACAGTATTCACGTTTAGCGCACAGAGAGAAGGGTTTTGTTGCTTTCTGAGCAGCGAGGGGAGGTTTAGCGTTCATTTAGGTCAATTCGTCTCTCATTGGATCGCGTTTCACAATTTTATTGGTTACACACTGTACCTCGGCATTTCGCTGTTCTCAGCAACTGTTCCCGAAAATCTCCGTCAACTACCGAGCACGTCGCTGAACGAACCTGGAAACAGAGTGAGCCTCGGGTACCGTCAATTTATGACGGCAAAATTAACAGCGAACTTATTTTTCAGACGGATCAAACATGACGACAATACTCAATATGGGATTGTGGATTAGTGCGATGAGATTGTTCACCTAAATTTCATTCCGACATTGGGGCTTGGGTGGAAGTGTACCACGCGTGCCTGGCCGCACTGCTGTAGCTCGCGCATGAGGAAGTACCGCAGCTGGATGTGCTTCCCTCTGCCCTCTAGTCGAGGCTCCTGACACAAGATGATCATGGCCCTGTTGTCAGCGTACAGGACCGGGGCAAAGCTAGGCCGCTCACCTAAGCCAGTGAGCAAGAACATCAGTCAGCAGAGCTCCTGTGCCGCCATGGGACCAACGTAGATCTCAGCCTCATAGCTGGAATGTGCAACAGACGACGAGCGGGTGGACCTCCATGAGATGGCGCCTGCACCAAGGCTAAAGCAGTAGCCCTGGGAGGACCTGAGTGTCTCAGCGTCCTCCGTCCACGAAGCGTCTGTGTGCCTTGTGAGAACCACTAGTCTGCGTCCTCCCAGCACTAGCCCCATGCCTGATATACTTGCTAGAAATTGCAACACCCTCTTGGCAGCCAACCAGTACTAGGGTCGGTGTCTGCCTGTCGCAACAAAGCGTGCGAGGATACTAAGAGGGTATGCGAAATCTGGACGAGTGCAAGTCATCAGGTATATACACTGGACGAGGAATTTTGCCATTTTAGGGGGTCATGGGCATTAAGCCTTAATCTTCTGGTGTGCCTAGTGTATGTAGGTTAGGGTAAGGCTCTACGCCCATGCCTTACATCACACAAGTATAATGATGTTTACAACAAATGCCAGAAAATAACAATCTTGGTACATGTGGACAATTATTGCCAGGCGCAAGCAGCAAGTTACATCAACCCCAAACTAGTACCTAATCCACCGCCCTTTCGCCTTAGACACCGCCCTCACCCTCCTGGGCATGCTTTCCACCAGGTGGGTGCACACATCCGCCGGGATCTTCTCCCATTTCTCCTGCACTCGCTCCCAAAGGTCTAGCATACAGTGGGAGGCTTATAAGGCTTGGCCAGCTGCCTCTTGAGATGAGCCCATAAATGCTCCATTCGGTTGAGGTCGAGTGAGGAAGACGGCCACTCTAGCACCCCTGAATCTTACTCTCAAAGCCACTCCTGTACGATACGCGACTTGTGCTTCGGGTCGTTGTCATGCTGGAAGATAGTTTTTGAGGGTGTAAGCTGGTAAAGCTCAATCGTATTGTTGAGATCGTCCTGCAGTATACTCAGCGAGAGCAGTCCGTCCACCCTACCATATGTTTTGCTCATGAAACCCGCTCCCTTTTACGACATGCAGTCGTAAATTATCAAGCAACCGCCCCCGTGTTTGACGGTCTGCTTGATTTGGTGTCTTTGGAGGGCAGTCCCTTCGTGAACGCAGGCGTATGAGAGTCAGTTGGATGCAAGACGACCGATCTTGGTCTCATCCGCACAGAAAATGCGCTTCTAGTCGTCGACCGTCCAGTCTGCGTGGGCACGCGCCCATTCCAGCCTATCGCGTATGTTTTTCCGAGAGTGTCGCGGCTTCTTGGGATGCTTGATTGCGACAAGTCGGCTCCCATTCTAAGCGTTACGCAATGTCTTAGGATGCAACGTGATGCCGTGCTGCTTCTCAACGATTTTCGCCACGTGAGCGGAGATTTCGGCCTCCTCGAGGGTAATCGACCGAACTATGCCGCGGCGAACTCTCTCTGTCACTAAGCGAGGGCGACCGGCTGAGGGCATCGTAGGACGCACGTCATCGCGGGTAGACTCTACAATCGCCTTGATGGGCCGACCTCTTCCCTATGGCTAGCTGTTTAGCGATTCAACGATTGCTCTACCCCCTCCGCAACAAGGGAATGATCTATGCGTAGAGCGCCTCATCTAACGGTTTCATGACGGCCTAATCATCGCAGCGGTCCTAGCCTATCTCCTGACTACTCGATAGTCGCGAGGGCAAGTAAGAAGAAATAGCGAGGTTAGGAAATAGATCTACTACGCTGCTTGGCCTAAATTGTCCGGATGCACCCACGCGGACGAAATCTCGTCCTCGGTAAAAAATCGACCCCTATAAAACTGAAACCAGCATCCGTCACATACAGTACAGTACTACTTTACATCCAACCCCGAAATTTGATTCGTAACTAAACAAAGAAGGCACCAAACCAGTACGAGAAATGTTTTAAGGCAATTATCCGGGCAATACTTTCCGTCGCTGTAAGGCAGCCCACGAGCTCTGCGTACTGACCACTGGGCTCGACCGGCTCGTTAGGGACTTGAGCCGAGAGATGGGCTGTGCCGAGGAGAACTGATGGCAGAGCCTCTGAAGGACCTGGCACACCAAGTGTAACTGTGTGAGAGTGATGGTGCGCGCTGCTCTATCCCTGAAGATCTGCCATCAGTTCTCCTCGGCACAGCCCACTCCTCTGCCAGTTGAGCCGAGATCCACTGGCAGAGGAGTGGGCTGTGCCGAGGAGAACTGATGGCAGAACCTCTGAAGGACCTGGCACACCAAGTGTAACTGTGTGAGAGTGATGGTGTGTGCCGCTCTATCCCTGAAGATCTGCAGCCCAAGATAGCAGCGCAGCTCTCTTAGGTCAGTGCAGGCGTCTCCCCAGCAGCTCGGCCTTCACCAAGGCCAGTGCGTCTTTGTCTGCAGTAGCAAAGACCAGGTCGTCTACGTAGCCTAGGATGTAGAACGGGGTCTGGCCTGAGTGAAACATCAGAGGATGAAAAGAACTGGAGATCTGGTAGTGTAGCATGCAGCAGGTCATGCCATTCATGGGGCGCCTGCCGTAGACCGTAAATAGAGCGCCAGAGGAACCACTTGGTCCCAAGAGGGAAAGTGCCAGAGAAGCCTGGAGGACGGCGTAGGTAGATCTGCTCGTGCAGGCTGCCCTGGAGGAACGCTAAGGAGAACTCAAGCGAGTGAAGCTCGTAGTCGCGCTGTGCTGCTACCTGAAGCAGCGCTCGAAGAGTGGTCATCTTTGGGGTCGGGGCGAAGGTCTCGAAGAATTCAACCCCCTTGCGCCGACTGAAGCCTCTAGCAACGTAGTGCGCCTTGAACACCGGGGGCTCCCCAGGAGGGCACATCACATTGAAGAGCCACCGGCCATCGGCTACGTCCGCCCCAAATGGGGGAACTGCTTCAAAGTAGGTGCCGTTGGATCTCCAAGATGCCATCTTTGTGTTCGTGGCAGCTATCCCCTGAGAAGCCGCCTCGGCGTAGGTGCGAGGGGTCGGGATTTCAAAAGCGTCTGGGTCACCCTCAAGGGCTAGCAGCATGGAGCAGAGATGAGGAGTGACCTCGAACAGGAATGCTAACTCGTACTGCCGGTCCTCTAGGACGTCATTGCCAAGGGAAGGTGCACCTCCGACGGACGGAGGACGGGCAGGATCAGAGACCAGAGCAGTAGCGTAGTCAAGGCGGCGGGTAGAGGCAAAGTGAGAGACAGTAGCAACAAGGGCGTCGAGACTGAAGACAGGAACGGACAGGTCAGTTACTAGAGAGAAGAGGACACGAGGAACAAGCGGGCGAGCAGCACGGAGAAAGTAAGAGAAAGGAGGTGGGGAGACAACGAGAGACGACTAAGGAGGCGATGGGAGAAGAGCGACGGAAGGAGCCAAGACGCGTTAGAACGGAGAGACATAGGGGGAACATTCGAGGCGGGAGAGACGGGACGAGCATGATAGGGGCGGTGAGACCACCCAGCGAGAGTGGGGTGTATGGCCAGGAGACAACGGAGGAGGCACAGGAGGAGAACGAGGGGGGAAACGAGCCGGGGAGGAGTCCGACGGAGGGAACATGGGGCCGTAGACAGGAGGAGGAGGTGGCGCTGGGGAAGGCGTGTGCGGTCGGTCAGGAGAGGGAAGACCGAGGAGGCGAAGGACGGAAACTGGCGGTGAGTGCTGCTGCTGCTCCGCGCCCACACCGGGACCTTAAGCCGCACCAAGGCTACCCCTAGGACTCTCCACGACAGCACCCCCAGTACAAGCACCACCAAAACTAGCACCCCCATGACTAGCACCCCTAGAACTAGAACCCTCTGAAGCACCCACGCCACCCCCAGAACCACCGGGACTCGCCAAAACAGCATCCCCAGGAGTAGCGCCCCCTGAACGAGCACCCCCCTGAGAACCAGCACCCTAAGGGCCAACACCCCCAGAGCCAACTGACCCCTGCTACTGCAGCGGCTGCTGCTGCTGCTTGGGCGATGGCGACTGCTGCTGATGCGGTGGCTGAGGAGGCACAGGGGCCGAGGGTGCAGGCGCCTCATAAGCAGGCGACTCACCCGGAGTGTCCCAGGTCCAGGATTTAGCAAAAACTCGAATGCTGCTAATCTATTATTGAATCAAGAATTGAATGTCTACAAGAAAAGAGTCAATGCTATTTATACATACGAGAACTCTAGGCAAGGGTAACTAGGACCTTTTACGAGAGTTCTAGAAATGAGTGGAACCGTCCGTATGAACACCACCTAGAAGCACGGTAGGGATTCTAGAGATGCGGCGACGGTGACTAAAACACTCCATGCAATAGAAAACGTGTTACACAAGGAAAGTCCAAAACACTCAGTAACACATATGATATGTGTATAATATATTAATGTGTAGGATAGAGTGTAGGGATTTTCAAGAAAGGAAAAACACACAAAATAACACACAATAAAGAGAAAATAGCAAATGGTTGTGGTCAGCGGACTCCTCCGCCGGGCCAACCGAAGGAAGGGGAGTGACGTAAGACACACTTGACGGTGGCAGGACTGAGAGCGGGAGCTATTGTGGGAGTGGGGACAAGGAACAGGGGCGGGTTACGGGGTGACCGTGGTACGGAAATCGAGTGTAAAAGGAGACAGACTCGTCAAAGGTGATGTTACGCGAGCAAAAGAAATGGTGAGACGACGTGTGGTAGAAGTGGCAGTCATAAGCGTCTAGAGGGAAACCAAAAAGGACACAAGAGAAGGCAAGGGCGGTAAGCTTGTCCGCGCCAGAGGCGCGGACGTAAGCTAGGCAGCCCTAGATGTGAAACGCAGACGCGTCATCAGGGGATCCGTAATGAAGACGGAGCACTGGCTTGGCGCGGTGGACTCGAGCAGCTACAAGCCACGGGATAAGAACGTCAGGCACGTCGGCCTTTCGCTCCAAGGGAAACACTGTGGTGTAGCAGGTTTAGTCGTCTACAAGAACTAGGAAGCAGCGCTTGCGACGCGGCCCAGGGACTGGGCTGGGCCTAGGCAGGTGCAAGGTCTGGAGTGGCTCAGAAGTGGGGGGAGACGAGGAGGAGTGAGGAGCCCGACGCAGCCGGCCCTCAACGCAAGGCGTGCATAGAGGCGCGGGCAGGGGAGGGAGGGCAGGGAGCGTCGGAAGGAGACCTAAAACAAGACCATGCTGGGACCTGTGACGGAGACGCATGAGTGCGGGGTGACCTAGGCGGTGGAGCCACTGAAGCGACGGATGGGTGAGCGACCGACATGAGCAAGCCTCAGCGATCTGCGTAGACGCTGCCACCTAGGGGGACGCAGCCACCAAGGGGGGATGCGGTGTCCAGCGTGAACAGTCCAGACGCCGAGTCCCGGGGGAACGTGGTGAGTGGGGCACCAGTGGCAGCCTCAGTACAGACCGTGTACCGTCCATGTCCAGGAAACGTGGTGGTGACAACGAGATCCTGAAGACAACCGACACCAACCATGTTCCTGGAGAACGAGGGGATGTGCAGATCTATAAGATAGCCCGAGGGAACCGCCGGACAGGGAAGGGTGCTGGAGCTGCGTGCAACTACCAGATCGAAGGAAGGGTCAGCATGGGTGGTAGCATCTGTCGGCGGGGGCACTAGCATGGAGCTAAGGCTAAACACGGCAGGAGGTCCTATGCCTGACGCAACATGGGAGCCTAGGCTACACACAACAGACACACCTAGGCTAGGCAACACAGGGCAATAAGGTTCAGTCACACTAGAGTTATCAGGATACATGGCATGCATACCAGAGCGAATCTGATCCATGTCTACCTCAAAGACCGGCACACGATGACGTATCAGGCTGTGCCAGTCCGAAAGGGACAGCATGGGCCCGAAGCAAAGACAATAGAGGTGGTTGAGGCAGCGGTAGCTAAGGGCAGCGGCGTGGCCGAGATGGTCACACATGGTGCCACGAAGGGGACCAGTTTGAAGCGGGTACCGGCACCCGACATCGAGCTGCGAGAGCCGCCTCTTCGACCACCACCACCAAAGCCGCCCGGCCACCACGGCGGCGAGGCCGCCCACTGCTGTTGTTGCTGCTGCGACTGCTGCTGCTGCTGCCTCAGTTGCTGCTCCTGCTGCTAATCTGGGGCGTCAGCTCCCAACCCCTCGTCTCCACTCCCAGCGCTCACACCACCGCCACCCCCCCCGCCACCCCCACCACTTCCAGCACCCTTGCCACCCTTACGCCCCCCCTTGGAGCGATGGGGGGCTCTACCCTAACATGGTTGCGCGCCCGCAGTGGTGGTCTCAGCGACAGGGACTATCTCAGCGACAGCAGCGAAAACATCAGAGTAAGTGCACTCGATGGGAGCACAACCCTGGAAGATAGGGACCGCCACAGTACCGCTAGACTGAGCGATAGGGCGCTGGTGGCTCTCTATCGCAGACAGGGTGGCGACGAAGTTGCTAAGGGTGAGGTCAGTGGGGTGGAGGCTAAGGAAGGTGTCGCGGGCAGTGGCTAGGCGGTCGGGGAGGAGCGTGGCTAAGAAATAAAG